GGCCGGCAATGCCATCTGCCTACAATACTAGCTGTTACGGCTGTCAGGGCCTGCTTCGAGACTCAAGGCAGAGCGGGCCATATGAGTCCCGTTAGTGGTCAGGTGAACTTCAATCAACACTGACGTGCTTCAGTTTTCTATTCTCGATTTCAGATGCGAACAAATAGTTACTATCAGAATACTACTTTAAAAATTCAAGCAACCGTTATTTATAAAAAATATAACAGTTCCAGCTCAGCACACCGCGAAACACATGGGGAGATCAAAGATATATACACAATTTCCTTAAAGCTGAACCATACAGTGTAAGCAGAAGCTACTTTAACTTTAATATGTTAACATTTATATGTTGCGTGAAAGTGCTTATTCGGGTAAGAAAGTAATGTAAACAATGAGGTAGGTTACGTGCACGGAAATGGAGTAGCAGGGGATTATTTTATGATTTGGTATTTAGTTTCGAACTGAAAAAGTTTACTAGTATTATGTGCCTTATATAAGAATCTTAACATCAGAGATGCCCGTTCTCGTTCCAGTTTTCAAAAGCATGTATATTCACAAGTTTGCTCAAACTGTTAAACGAGCACAGAATTAGTGGCAAATGTCTTCCTCGATCACCATTAAGCCAACAACTAGACAGCACTTCAATCAAACGAGATATAACTTCCTTCTTCCTCAAACAGTTTGCTTTAACTTGCAAGACTAGTGGACCATTCGAATGTGCAAGCCGAAGAAAGCAGTGTACTTTTCGCCCCCCGCCTTTTATTTGTCAGTAACGTCGTCTAAACAATTCCCAGTCTCACGTCTTCTTAAGTCAGAATTTATAAAATTACTAACGTAAATCAGAATACACCTATTCAGTTGAACATCTTGTGTGATTTTGTCTAAGAGCATCTAATGACATAATTCATGTTTTATTTAATCATAAATCCTTATGAGGAAGAGGGGTAGAAGAATATCAGCGTCAGATGTTATGCAAATAAAATCCTGCTTAAAGAACAATATCTTAAATGACTGCACGCCCTGGCTCTTACGCAGAAATGATGATAAGCAATTGGTAAAATTGTCATGTGCATCTACCACAGAACTCATGAATTTAAATAGATTATAGACATCACCAATTAACCCAGAACTTTTATATTTTTTTGCATACCGATCTCAGAACCAAATCATTCACAAAATTTGACCACTTTACATTTCTATCAAATGCACTATGCACTAATGATTTACATAAAAATCTGCGTGAAGTAA